AACAATCAATCCAAGGTCAGTTTGCGTGAAAGTTGGAAGATGTACTAAAAAGTACCCTCGACAAATGATTCGGGAGGCTCAAACAGGGACCGACGGTTATCCTTTGCACAGACGGCGGAAGCCGAAAGATGGAGGTCACGTTGCAACTCTCAAAATGAACTTAATAACCAGTGGACAGAAGCTAAAGTAGATAACAGGTGGATTGTGCCATATACCCCAGATCTTTCAAAGATGTTCCAAGCGCACATAAATGAGTACTGCAATTCAGTAAAGTCGATCAAGTACATTTGCAAGTACGTTAATACGTCAACAAAGATGACGATATGGCAGCTTTTCGCCTTGAAAATGAAAATAATCAACTTGATGAAGTCATGCAGTACCGAATGGGAAGATATATCAACAGTAATGAGGCTGTTTGGCGAATTTTCAATTTCAAAATACATGAGCGCTATCCATCTGTCGTACATCTAAGTGTTCATCTTGAAAACGGGCACCGTGTCCATTTCGTTGCTGACAATGCGAGGGAAAGAGCTGCAAAGCCTTCCAATACAACTATGACAGTATTCTTTCAATTGTGTCAAGAGGATTCTTTTGCAAGAACCTTACTCTATCCCGAAGTAAAACGATGCTATACACGGAAGAAAACGACGAAAAGATTTTGAAGAAGAAAACAGGGTGCTCCTGTTCCAGGTTACCATAATTTACGTGCAGCGGATGCCATAGGGCGCATGTACACGGTTCACCGACAACGCTGAGTGCTTTTATCTCAGAATGTTACTTCACACAATTCCGGGACCAACCTCATTTGTTGACCCAAAACTGTTGAAGGAGAGCAATGCCAAACCTATAAGGAAACTTGTCAAAGACTTGGTATGCTCGAGAGCGACGAGCAGTGGGACACAACAATGTCAAAAGCCTCCCTCTCCTGCTTTGCTGCGCAGTTGCGAAGGCTTTTCGCTATCACTCTTACGACGTGTGCGCCATCTAATCCACAAAGTCCCTAGGAAAAGTGCAAGGAAATAGTGAAGATATTCTCAGAGAAAACGAAGAGCCACTTTATTGAATCTAGATTTTTCGCCTGAGATATTTAATCAGGCCCTGATATATAGAAGACATTTGTGTTGCGATTAACGGTCAATCTCTTTCTCAACTGGGCTTGCCACCTCCTTCCCGCAACAATGATAGTTCCTTAGATGGTGATAACTTGAGAGAACGAAACTATGATGTCAATGAGTTAGAAAGGTTTTATTTGAAAATAACAGACCGCTTCTAACTAAAGACCAGAGGTCGATATACACTACTGTCACGGATGTCATCACAAGAGGCTCAGGTGGATTATTCTTTCTTGATGCGCTGGGAGGGACAGGAAAAACCTTTCTTATTAATCTACTTCTTTGTAAGATTCGAAGGCAAGGAGAGATGACTATCGCGATTGCATCATCATGAATTGCGTCAATGTTACTGCATGGAGGCATAACAGCTTACTCTGCCTTGCCCATTCAGAAAATCCTATCTGTAGCATAAGCAAGGGCTCCGGTAAGGTTGAAGTACTGAAAAGTTGCAAGCTTATTGTATGGGACAAATGTACTATTTCACATAAGAACGCCCTTGAAGCGCTCGAACGTTGCGAGAATTGTGAGAAAACACCAGAATTATGGGAGGCTTGACAGTCATATTAGCAGGCGACTTTCGCCTAACCCTGCCTATCATCTCACGGTCGACTCCAGTCAATGAGTTGAATGCCTGCATTATCATCTTATCTTTGAATGCACGTGCAGGCTATGCCGTTATGAGAGTCCACTTATTTGGAGAAGCTGCCGCAGGTAATTTTGCACAACAATTGTTGTGTCTGGGTGGTAGGTTCCCTACTGACCCGACTACTGACCTGATAACCTTTCCAACGTATTTCTGCAATTTAGTACAGTCCGTGGAAGAATTGGTGGCAAAGGTTTTCCCAGACATTGGAAAAAATTTCAAATCACCATTGGCTTTGTGAGAGGGCAATTTTGGCACCCAAAAACGAATGTGTGCTCGTTGAACATTCAGATACCGAACAACCTTACTGGCCTTCCATCCACTTATGAATCTATAGATATGGTGTTGACAGCGATCAAGCAGTGTATTATCCAACTGAATTTTTGAATTCCCTTGAGGCAGCTGGGACGCCCCCGCATAAGCTCCAGCTGAAAATTGGATCTCCAATAATGTTCTTACGCAAAATTGATCCACCAAAACTATGCAGAGGAGCAAGACTTTGCGTCAAAAATTTTATGCCAAATGTCATTAAGGCTACGATATTAACAGGCAAATCTGAAGGGGAAGACGTTTTTATTCCGCGCATACCTTTGATCCCAACCGACCTGCTTTTCGAGTTCAAACGCCTGCAGTTTCCGATGTAGCTGGAGTTAATCTGGAAAGTCCATGTTTTTCTCATGGTCAGCTATATGTTGCCTGCTCAAAAGTTTGTTCAT